GAACAACTAAAATGTTATCTACAATCCAACAACTAAAAAAAGAGTACTACTCATTTTTTTTTTGAGTCAACAATTTAATCTCCAACTGTTTCAAAGACTCTTTGCTGTCTTCTTGGAGCTGCCTGAGAGACTCCTTGGTGTCGTCACGGAGCTGCTTGAGAGACTTTTTTATGTCTTCACGTATTTGCTCGAGAGACTCTTTTATTTCTTGTTGCAACTCCTCTTGGTTTGCCAAAATCTGATTAAGCATTTGTACAAGCATTTTGTTATCCCCTGAAATAATTGTCTCATCTGTCTCCTGTGGATCTGGATCATAATTATCATAATCATATGTATCGGTTTGCCCCAAACTCTTTTTTAATGTGCATTCACCAAATGGACTCATAAGGGTCTTAAAAATTTTAGTTGGGTGAATGACAACTCTATAATACATCATAATCTTTGAAATTAAGAAGGGGAATGAGAGACTCTTTCGCTTCTCTTCAAGGTCAAACGCCAAAACAATTTCATTATATATTAGACAAGGGAGATCTATAATTATCCCCTTCTCAATGACATAGAGTAGATGAGCTCTATTGCGTCCAAAATCAAAATTGTGTCCTCTGCCTCCATCTCTTTCTCTCTTTGTTCATCTTCTTGATCTTTGCCCCCAACGAATAGTCACCCAGGCCCTACCCAACAATATGGGGAAAAAACATGGGCTTTAGGCCCCAAATTTTTAGAAGACCCCATAATTTTAGGTACATCACTAGTCAAAAAAAAATTAAACCTATTAAATTTTAAACCCTATAAAAAAGCTCCAAACAATTAAATCCAATCAAAATTTTTATTGCAATAATTTGGGTCTATAATCCAATCTATAATATTAAAAACTTAGAAATTAAAAAAATTAAACAAATACTCAAAAATCAACTCATATTTACTCTCACCCATTTTTTCTCTCTCTCTCCATCTAGTAAAAAAAATAAAAAATAAAACTAAAAGTTAAAATTAAACATTCTCTTGTTTTCTCTGTGATAAAAAATAAAAATAAAAGTTAAAATCTCATTCTCGACGATGTTAACACATATTTCTTTTGTCTCCCCCTTACATAGAAAATTAAAAATAAATTAATTTTTTTTTAAAAAAATAATACTAAAAATAAAAAAGGTCTCTATTTAATATTTCTGTTTTCAAATTAGCTTAAACCGCCCCTGTAGCCACTGACGCTCCTTTCTTTTCTCTCCTTTTCTCTTTTCACCTAAACTCTCTTTGTTCACTGCAACACTAAGGAGGCACCATCGGAGACACAATGATCAACCATCGACAATCTTGAAGTCTCACCTGGGTATTCCTCCCCTTTCTCTCTCTACTTAGGTCTCCCATTACCGCAACCACCCCCTTCTTTCCCTTCTCCCCTCTGCCACCGAAACTCATAATAGCCCACCAAACACCCTATATATCCAAAGCCAAACTCTTACCTACAGCCAATCAGCACCTCCATCCCCTTTCCTCCCTAGTCCCCACCATTGTCACCGAAACCTCCTTGGCCAACAAATGCCTCCCCCACCCCCACACGCACTCATTGCTATCGAAACCCACCACAGTCACCGAGACATCAAGTGTTTGTATTATTGCTTCAATGAGTGGGTCAACATTATCCTTATTTTTTAGTGAACTTATTTTGTCTGTTGCAGCGACCATTTATAGCATGACGACACAGCTCCAGCGATCAGCAATGGCACAACTCCAACGAGACGATGACCTCTTAAAAAAGTGGTTTATTGGTTTGGGTTTGCTATTTTTTTTAGTTTTAAATATTTTTAGATTATTTACAATCTTTTTCTATACGTTCTAGGATATGAGGACCTAAGATTGATTTAGGCTAAGTGGTCTTTTGTGAACAATGATGAGTTCATCTATTTATGGTGTTTATTTTGTCCAAAAACTGCAAAGAATTTCAGAAGAACCAAGGAGCCCTTTTGATCAAAAGCCAAACCTTTTTTTTTTTTGACACATTTGGGAATGGTTTAATGAGGTGTATGCACGATGACAAAAATGACAAGAACCACTATGAGGTGTATGTACAATGTTTAATGAGTTATTCATACTGCTATTCAAGGTTCTTTAGGTAGTAATGTCTATATTTTTAAATATTATTTTTTCTCTAAAAAATTTCAAATCTTGAATTCAATTTAAGGACAAACTAGCAACTTGACTATGCTTAAGGCTTTATGTCTTGAGTTTAACAACTTTAAAGATATACACTACTTCTACATGTGACTTAGGACTTAGTTTTTATTATATGGTAGGTTTTTTTTTTTTTTTTGTCCATTGAATTAAAACTATGCCTCTAAGAATGAAAATGTCCGAATGAGTGTCGTATGTTTATTCGGATTTAGATCCCCTTCATTACCCTTTCCATTCAATTTTCCTTAATACAATGCTAGATGAGTGACATATGTAAGATTTTAAATTTCAATAAATAAGATGTTTTCTCATTTATTTTTGTTATTTATTTTTGTTGTTGGTAGAGTGTTAACTATTATTAAGGAATTTTCTTCACAAAAAAAAATCTTATCTATTAAAATTTAAAATTTTACACGTGTCACTCATCTAGCACTGTATTAAGGGGAATTGAAATGAACGAATCTGAATCCCATCTATTCGTTTTAATTTCTTGCTTTTGATTTGATTTGATCATTTGATGATCACGTTTTGAATATGGATTTGATTAGTTCTTATATGCAAGGATCTCAAGAAAATGGTTTTTGATTTTGATAATGAAATTCATTACTGATTGGTGACAGAATTGAGGAAAAAGGTGAAAATGGAAATTTGGCACATTTTTAAATTTTTTTTTTAGTTTTGTGTATTGTACAGAGTTTTTGGTATGCGTGTAAACATAAAAAAAATTAAAAATTAATGTTTATAATTGGGCTCAAACCAATTAGATAAATTACATTGGGTTTGAAACTAAATTCTCCGACACAAATAATACAAGTACAAATTTAATTAAAAAGACTTGTCAAATTAAACTGGACCTAAATTTCATGAAGCCAAATAATAGAAGTTTAAATTTAATTAACTTGATTTGGACTTCAATTTCATAAGCCCATAAATTTAAATTAATATGGGTGGTCCACTACCTAATACCCATACAAGAGTATTCAGGTAAAATACTCTTATATAGATAATTACTTCCAACACTATAAATAGAGGTCTGGGGGTAAACTAAGAAGTGAGGAGATCAAGAAGAGAAGCCAAAGAGGAGGGAAAATCAAGAAACTCTGCCTGAGTCCATCTCAAGTGGAGAAGGGAAGATCAGCAGCGAAGCTCTGTCAGAGTCTATCTCCAACTGAAGTCTTGCAAATCTATCTCTAAGGAGAAGAAACACTGTCAAGGTCCTTCTTCAAGATATCTAAATTATCTTTAAGCCATTCAACATAAAAAATAGTAAGAAGATTCAACAAAGTCAAGTCAAAGATTGAAGAACTAGATTCATGTTAATCTTACCCTCGTCTTCAACAAATCCACCAAATCAAAGATTAAAGAACAAAAGTCATGTCAATCCAACTCTCGTCTTCAGCAAATCTACCAAAGCATCATCACCAAATCAAAAATTGAGGAACGTGCTAGTCAAGCTCTTATCTTTACCAAATCTATCAAAGTCAACACCAAATCAAAGATCGAAACATACGTCGATCCGGCTCTCATCATCATCAAATCTACCGAGAATTAGAGAAAAGTGCACATAAGAAGTACGTCGAAGAGAGTCATCACCATTTTATTAGATTAAGTCAAATCATCAACAATTATAATTTTGACATTACTTTTGTGTTAATTTATTCACAAAAATTTGTCGTTACAATGTGAACGATGAAAAATTCCGATAAATTATACTCTAAAAGTTTGTGATAAGTTTTATTGTTTTTACCTCATTTTCTTAGCTGCCGAATACTTTAATTGGTTGTGTCGGCCTTTTTTCCTTATGTGGGATAGTGAAGTTTACAATTTTTACTTATGTTGTCTCTTAAATTTTTGTCAAGTATCGCTTTCAGTAATTTTTCCAATTTTAGAGTTGTAATGATATTGGGGATGCCCGGGACAAAGACAATTGATATGTCACATGTTACGTTTTTCTTTCTTTTGTAGTAAAAGACATGGTGTAGAAATTCGTTGCTTCTCTAATCTATCTGCAAGCTTCTCTAATCTATGATCCCAGTGTTTATTCAACTGTTTCCTTAATGCACTAATACACACGCTTTTGCAATTTGTGGAAGACATCAGGATAGCTGCCCCTACATAGGGTAGTGACGTGTTTGAGTGCGTTTGATAATGAGAAATGTTATGTACTTTCCTTAGCAATATTTTCTCAAGAAGCTTATTGTTTGACTCAAATCATTAACAACACACTGTCTTTGTTATGATAGGAATTTCATTTGAAGTATGGTGTTTAAGTTTTGTGCGTCAGCCGACACATCTATTTATTTTTTATTTTTTAACACTAAAATTATAATGCGACTTCTAGATGGTTTTACTTGAATTTTTGATTGGCTGAAGATCCTTGGACTCCAAAAGAACTAATGTTTTTTCTTTTTGCATGTGGCCACACAAGTGCTTCAGAAGTGTTGTTGTAGAAATGAGGATGTTCTATCTTAGTTGCTTGATATAGTGAAAAATGATCAAAGGCTTTTGTCATCTAAATCTCATTATATGCAGGTGATCACCATTCTCGTGATCTGGTGAAGGGTTGGAATAAATGGTTGTGCAATGCAATTGGAGATATTGATCGGCCTACATTGTGTTTTTTGACTTAGCTATGTTGTCATTGAGGCCGGCCCAAATAAAAGGCCTCTCTGTCTTTCCAGATGAGTTGTAATTCTATTTTTAATAAAGTTTTCTATTAAGTTATCCAAAAAAAAAGAAAAATAGAAAATTGATTAGTCTGTATATGTGAGTGAAAATGCTTGTAGAAGGGTATTTTCGTAAGTTACCAGCGTGGGAGCGAAGCCAATTCATCCACGAGGGAGGACCACGACTAGAACGACACGATACTTGCCCCCAAATTGTCGTCTTCATCACTGAGAATTGTGAGATTATTTGTCGCTATTAATTGCAAATGCTTCCCCTATATTTGAGGACACAACCGGAATAGCATCTCCGCTATTAATTGCTGCTCTGTACATTCCATGGCCACTATCTCTTCTTTCTCTTCCCCACCTTGGCAAAACCCTAACCCTAATCCCAACCCGGACTTTCTCTCTCAGATGCTTCAATCTTCTGAAGAACAGGAACAAGACACTCCAAACGAAGAAGAGGATGAAACTCTTCACAATCGCATTCCTCACGTCACAATTCCGAACCCCAACCCCAATTTTAGCGATCGTGTTTGTCCTTTAACTCCGACTCTTCTTCACGTCTCATTCAATCAGGACTATGGATGTTTTGCCACCGGCACCGATCGTGGCTTTCGGATCTACAACTGCGACCCATTCCGAGAAATCTTTCGACGAGACTTCGATCACGGAGGGGGTATTGGCATAGTGGAGATGCTATTCCGATGCAACATACTCGCGTTGGTTGGTGGCGGTGATAATCCTCAGTTTCCTCTCAATAAGGTCATGATTTGGGACGATCATCAGAGCCGCTGTATCGGTGAATTATCCTTTCGGTCCGAGGTTCGGGGCGTTAGGCTTCGAAGGGATCGAATTGTGGTGGTTCTAGAGCAGAAGATATTTGTGTATAATTTCGCGGACTTGAAGTTGTTGCACCAGATTGAGACGATTGCGAATCCGAAAGGGCTTTGTGCGGTCTCGCATACGGCTGGATCGTTTGTGTTGGTGTGTCCAGGGTTGCAGAAAGGGCAAATTAGGGTTGAGCATTATGCGACCAAGAGGACTAAATTTATTCTGGCCCATGATTCGAGGATTGCGTGCTTCACGATCACACAGGATGGTAATTTGCTTGCCACGGCCAGCACGAAGGGTACTCTGGTGAGGATTTTCAATACATACGATGGAACTCTTTTGCAAGAGGTAAACAAATGTTTGAGTCTTATATTTTCACTTTCAGGTGGATATATGAACTGTTTACCTGGACAGTCTTTGAACTTGCGCATGAAATTTTCCACATTACTTTGCTATATTATATTCAGTTCCATGCTAGGTTTTCTTAGTCGGACTCTCATAGTTATTTAAATTGTGCTATGTCTTTCTCACCATAGTTCTGCCAACTATATATGCTCTATTATGTGATAGAAATTGATACTTTCTACATCACTTAATCACCAAACTTATTAATATGGCATTGCCATTGTTTTCTCTTAACATTTGTAAATTGTAATATGCTTGGGAATGTCACATGGCATCCCTTGATTTAACTCTATTGCTAAACAATGGATTGAGTTTTAGAAAAGAAGGGGAGTAGAGTTTGATGACATGAGAAGCATATATCCATATGAAAGTGGTGATTCATATTTTCATCATCAGCAGTTAGACACTAATTAGGGTTAATTACATTAGAGGTCCCTAAAGTATAGACTTTGTTTTATTTTGATCTCTAATATTTCAATTGCATCATTTTTATCCTTGAAGTATTGAATATATTTCTATATAGTATCTTAAGTAGACAATATCCAAATTGTTAACAATTTTTTATCATAAATTTGTCGTGTTATACTTAAATATGGACAAAAAATAATTTGGATAACTCTTGACCAAATTTCTACTAAAATTTTGGTTAAATAGCTACCTAAATTACATAGTTTTAATCATTAACTATCCAAATTTTGGTCAAAAGTTACCCATATTACACATTTTTTTGTCAAGAGCTTCTCAAATTTTTGTTTAAGAGCTATCAAAATTATTTTTTGTCCATATTTAGGTATTAAATGATAAATTTATGATAAAAAATTATTAGTAATATAAATGTTGTCTACTTGAAGGATCATATAGAAGCATATTCAATACTTTAGGGACCAAAATGATGCAATTAAATTATTGGGGACCAAAATGAGACAAACTACATACTCGGTGGACCTCCGTGCAATTAACCCAACTAATTATAACCAAAACTCTTGAGATAAGAAACAGGAAATACCTATGTTCCTTGATTTCTTCTCAGATGCTTGCATTTTGGATTTTGTGCATGAGTTCTTTACACTCCAACTACCCTTCTCGTAGATGGAATATTGAGATAAATGAATTAACCACATTATCTAAGTACTTAAGCTTAAATTTTGTTCTTCTCTTGATATTATTGACATTGAGTTTCATTTATCATGTCGTATCATTTTCTTGTCTACTAAGCTAGGAATTGTTGTTCCGTTAGTTGGATGGTAGGCCTTAACATTGATGACATTCATCTCAGTCTAATTTAATCTTGGCATAGACTCAAGATTGCATAAATTAGGAGATTTGGTTCTCTTTCTGCATTACTTTGTTTCTCTATGTTTCTGTGTTTCATCAACTCATTTTATGCATCAATAAAATATGGAAATTAGGTCTGCACCATCTCTATTTTCTCTTTAATATTTGTATGTGCCTTGTTTCTTTATTTGAGAGTACAAAATTACCTTTCTTTCTTGGGTGAATTGCACCTTGCTCCCTAAAAGATTTCAAAATTTTCAATTTGCATCTCCAATGATTGATGCTCTCACATTGCATTGCACCTCTCAATGTCATAAAATGATTACAATGTGACCCTCTCACTAACTTTCATTTTCATTTTTATCAAATCTCACTGCATTGAGTTTGTAGGCCACAAAACAAATTTGATAAAAATTGCAACAGAAATAAGTATGAGTGTCACATTGCAACCATTTTATGACACTGAGGGTTCAATGTGGGAAAATTAATCATTTAAGGTGCAAATTGAGAATTTCCAAATCTTTCATGGTGCAAACTGTGATTCATCCTTCTTTTTTTAGAAGTTATGATTTTTCTCTATTGACTTATGGGTTCAAGCCTCAAGGGATTGCATATGTACAAAACGTAGAAACTACAGACTCTTGGATATTTAATGCAGGTAAGGAGGGGAGCAGATAGAGCAGAAATATATAGTGTGGCATTCTCTTCGACTGCACAGTGGCTTGCAGTTTCAAGCGATAAGGGCACTGTCCATGTTTTTGGTCTTAAGATTAATTTGGCAAACCTAGGGACGAATGATAAGTTGAATAGTCCACCTGATCCCAATCTTGCTGTTACACCATCTAGCTCATCTCTCTCTTTCATGAAAGGTATGGCGCCTTTTGAATCAATAACAGAGGTTACATGCCTTTTCTTTTGTTTGCTTAATCTCTGTCGTGCTTCCTCACCCCCCACCACCCAAAAAAAAAAAAATGGTGAACTATGGATATGTTGGAAATCTGTTGAAGAATTAGTCTATTTGTTTTTGTATCCTTCAAAGGTGCAACTATGAACGATTAATTGTGGATATCTTAAAAGTTGAAGTCACTTGAGGCATTAGTTCATCAGACAAATCTGGAAGATGCAAAAAGAATAGATGTAGGTGATGTGCTTTGAAGTAGTTGAAAATATATTACGGGAAACCATTAAAATGATTTTTTCACTTGAAATACTACTCAAGTGCCTCAAGCTTTTTTATTTTGGCAAGGCATTGGTGATATTCAAACTATTCCAAATGACAAAATGAAAGGATCCTCATCCTAGTTGTGTACTGTGCCATTCCTAATCCTTTCATGTGGAGTGTGATGGCATATGCCAACCTACAAGTCTTCCGTCATGATTGCTAAATGGTGAACTTGTAGACCTAAACTAGAATCATGTTCTTTTTGTGTTGCTAAATGGTGAGTTTGGCAGGAGTACTGCCCAAGTATTTCAGCTCGGAGTGGTCAGTGGCTCAGTTCCGTTTGATTGAAGGTTCTCAGTACATTGTTGCCTTCGGTCACCAAAAGAATTCAGTGGTCATTCTTGGCTTGGATGGAAGGTGAGTGTGTGACAGCTACCAAACCCTGATGTAGTAATATATTTATTCTGCATTGTACAAAGTTTCTATTCTAGGTGCTTCGAAGTTAACCTTTGGTCACTCATGCTCCATCTTTGTAGCTTTTTAGTAAATATATCAAAAATAGTCTATGCATCCCATATTGTTTTCATTTTTGTACTGTAATTGCTCTCTAGCTCTCAAAATCATTGATATGCTATAGAAAATTCTATTCAGCTTCTATCGATGCCACTTTGACCCGGCGACTGGTGGAGAGATGACTCAATTGGAATATCACAACTTTGTTAAGCCTGAAGAAGCTTTCTAATGCAGAGCTCATCTCTTTGTATCTCTCTCAAGATATGTATATGGTATTCTTCTTTTCCCTTCTGTGTTGTCTATGTTGCAGATATCTACGTGTATATAACTAGCAGTTTGATACTGTTTCAATTAAACAAAATTAAAAAAAGTTAAAATACGGTTGCCATTACGTTCTGCATATCCTTGTAGTTATGATTTTTGTTTTTTTTTTTTTAATTATTCATGGTGAAGAGCCTGTAAAAATTTGTGGAGCCTCTCGTTTTTCGAGTAATTTCCTTTATTTTGCTTATTTTTTTTTGGTAAGAGAAATTTATTGCACATTTTAAGGGCAACCATTGGTGTCTTTGTAGCTAGGGGTGTGACTCGTTTGTCGTGTTCATGTGACTCGTTTGTCGCGTGTTATTCGTGTCGTGTTTGTGTCAAGATCTACGAAAAAAATAATTTATTTAGTGTATTCTGAATATTAAACATTAGTCTAAATTATTTATTATGCGTATTTAATAATCGTATTAATTTTATAATCGTTCGTGTCGAGTTAATATCGGGTTTGTGTCAGAGCTGACACCCTTTTGTGTAGCAATCAAGACTACAGCCATCCATGGACCTGCGTGTTGGGTTGGTCTTATGGGTCTTTTGCCGGTTGGCCAACTGATCAGCACTAATGATCCTATGTTTTCTATTTACATTTTGAAAATTGTCAGGTTAATGGACCGGGCCATAAGGACTAGTTACCTGGCCATAAAGCGGAAGAAAAGCTCTGTAGACACCTTTGCAAACCCAATATCACAGAATTAACCCACTGGGTTTTAATTTTGACGCGTTTACTATTAAACAAGTAAATCCACCAGACTTATTTAGTTAATGAGTTGACACAAATTCAGTTGCATAAATTATATACATGACACGAATTTAATACTAAATTATAAACGATTATCAATGGATTTGGTATGTGAGTTGAGAAATTTCTTATTTTAATATTCTTAGTTTCAATGTGAATTTTTTTTTTAACACTATTATAGGGCAGGAGAACGATAAGATTCGAACTCGTTGATCTTATGGTCCAACAGTGGCGATGATGGTTATTAGGTCAACTGTTAACCTCAATGAGAATAAGTTTATTTCAATATTTAGTGTAGGACTTAATAAACATAGGATTTGTATAATAAGCTTGTTTGGAGTTGGTTTTTTTAAATGAAAAGTTATAGTTTGTAAAGTTTTTAAAAAGAGTCAGAGTTAAAAAAGTCTCTCAAAATCATTTAAAGTGTTCTTTAAAAATATGAAAAAGTTAGAAAATTCCGTTTAGAATGATTTTTTAGCTTTTTTTGTCAAAATAAAAAATTAATTATATGTATGCATAAATTGTACATAATAGTTTACAAAATATGAATTTTAAAATTTTCTACATCACTAATAATATCTATATAATAAAGTAAAATATAATTTAAATATCAAAAGATAAATAAAATAATTTTTGTTTTTGGTGGTTGAAATTTTTTTAAATTTTATTTTAAAGTTAATTTGACAGTTAATATTTAACACCTCAAATTTAATAGGAAAAATAGGTCTCTAAGAGTGTGTTTGAAATAATTTTTTAAAAGTGTTGCTACTTTTTAGGACTTAAAATTTTTCATTCGTACTTTAAAAAAAAAAAGTAGTGTTTAGAACAGCCCACCACCACTACCACCCCCACCACTCTACCATCACCACCACTATCAACACCACCACCACCGCCCCACCATCATCACCATTGCCGTTGTCACCGCACCACCATTTCTGCCACAGTAATCACCACTATTGTTGCCACTATCACTGTCGCCACTCCACCACCGCCACCATCACCACCACTATCACCCCCGCCGCCGCCACCATTATCCCACCATCACCCCCACCGCCCCACCACCATCACCGTTACCACCATTATTGTCGTCGTTGCCACCTCACCATCATCATCACCCTAACCACTACCGACATTGCCCCCACCACCGTCACTATCCCCACCATCGCCGCCCCTATTGCCCCATCGCCACCGCTACCCACCACAAATTGTTACCACCGTCCTCCACTGCTACCACCCAACACCATTGTCATCTTATTTTTATATCTATTATCACTATTACCATCATCTCATTATCACCGTCACCCACCGTTAGCACCCACAACTACCATTGTTACCCACCATTACCTATCGCCAGTCATTGTCACTCACCCCCACCACACCTACCACCACCATCATCCGTCATCACCCACCAATGTTGTCATCCATTATAACCCCACCCTTATCAAACCTACCACCACCACCTATCACACTGTCGCCCATCACCACAACTCACCATCGTCATCACTATCGTCATCGCTCCACTACCACCACTAACAACCACCATTATCGTTGCCCACCATCACCACCACCATCATTCATGACTGCCACTACCATCATAGTCACCTAAAATCTACCACCACCATCGCCACCGTTGCCACCCACGATTACCACCATAACCATCGTCGTTGCCATTCACCACAACTATCATCATCTCCCACCACTATTACCACCACTCACCCCCACTACAATCGATGTTTAAAATTTATTTCTCTCTTCTTTATGTTTGTGATTTAATTTTGGGTGTGAATACAAATATGTTTATTGTTGATTATTTTTTCTTATTATTTTGCGCCTTTAAGCAACCAAAATAATAAAAATAGTAAACTCACCACTGACAACCACCATCTCACACCCCATGATACATACACCCCCTTTAATAAGTAAACTCATTTTATATTTTGTTATAATTAGGGTTTCATTCTCTATCTCATCTCATGCACTCACTAAAACACTTTTTCAATATGAATTTTTTCAATAAGATATATGTTAGTATTATTTCTCAATTTACTTCTATGTTTAATTTTATGTTTATTATATGAATTTTTATTATTTTCGGTATGTTTTGATATCTCTGTCAAGTTTAATAAATTTTTATTTAAAATTTATATATGTGTATGCTTTTAGATTATTTGTTCTTTTTTTATCTTGTTAATATTTTGCATCTCTACTTGTTATTTTTTTTCTTTTTCGATTTTGTGTCTGTGCTTGATGCTCGATTTTTTTTTTTTTCATAATTAGTTTTGCATCTTGTAGTTTTGCTTGTTCTTTTAATATTTGCTTGATTTGTTTCCCTCATGTTTCGATTTGATTCTTTCTTTCTGTTTTTTCCTTCTTTCATTCTTTTATTTTTTCTTGTTTTGGTTTGTTTGTTTGTTTCTTTTTCTTGTTTCGTTCTTTTCTTTTTTTCTTGTTTCTGAATGCTTATTTTTTTTTTACTTGTTTCGTTTTTTATTTTCTTTTTTCTTGTTTTAGTTTTGTTTGATTCTTTTTTTTCTTGTTTCGTAAATATATATGCATTCAAACTAATTGTCTTCTTTTATTATGTTTTTCTTACAATGACTTCTTTCATTAAAGATGTATACATAGAATGCGTGAGCTTAACTATTAATGGGATGTATGTAACATGAGGTGAGTTTAGTTACTAATGTGATGGGTATAAAAGGGAAAGACTTAGTAGTTTGATAATGAGAAATTAAATGGGGAGGGAATAGCCCCACCCTTATACCACCCCTAACTGGTATTAATTAAACCCTTCTATATGGGAATATTTGCACCGTAACAATGGGCTAGTATTATTTTTACATTTTTGTATTGGATCGACAATGACAATACTATTTTACTCTATCCCACCTCCTAATACCTCGTATATCTAGCAAACAAACATATCATTAGGAGTGGTTCAGTGGTTGAGTCTGTTATTTGGTAACCCATAGGTCTCAAGTTTAATCTCTTCCCACACTCCCTAAGGGCTAGCTACCTTTGTCCCTTTAGAGGCATGCTCTAAACTAACTCAAGTCACAATGACCAACTGCTAAATTTGAGGGAGTAGTTGTCGCAAGTTTAAATTTCTTGTAACAAAAAAATAATTGCACACAAAAATTTGGTATTCGAATTTGTTATTCATTTCTATATATTATGCCTTTTAGCCTCACCAATTCTCCAGTAGTGAAGTCCCCATACCTTTTCGTATGCTCAAAGATATCAGAACTCTGCAGAAAATAAAAAAAAAATGTGGTTTTCCTTTCCTATGCTAGAAGAACCTTTGATTTCTTTAACCTTTTTATTTTCTCTATTTTCTTTGGACACGTTGTGAAACAACTTCAATTGCGATTAGACATAGATTTTCGAAAATAATGCTAGGATTACATTTGAATATAAACTTGAAATAGGATTTACATCTCTTTTAATAGACTTTCTTCAATTTTTCTTAATAGTAAATCACTCGTCATCAATTTTAGTGGGAGTTGGTTTTTTCCCACCAATAAAAGTTATAGCATATGGGTGTCATGCATCTATGTATTTATCTCACACCATTCAACACTTACTTCCTAAACCTCGTTACATTGAAAATAATATCATATTTCACCGACACCAGCACAATCATTTAATCCCAATCAAAGACGTTGGGTTAGGCCTTAAATTGACGAAGAACCCTAGGAAAAACATCCTCTCTACCAGTCAACTTAAGATATGAGACATATTTTAATTAACAAAGTCACTCCCCGAGGGAGGAACGTAGATCATTACATCCTAAAACCAAACCAGGAAGAGAGCACTCGGGGAGCTCATATTCATATTGGAAATGATATTCTAATAATGCAACATATTTATCTTCAAAGCCTTTTGACTTAGATTCTCGTATTCCTCTTAATAATACGGATCTGATTTTAATGGGTTCTAATAAACAACATTGTAAGGGGTAGAACCCTCTACTAAGGATTTCGACTTGACCTGGGTTAACCAACGCGGGCGACCCCCCAGTAGCCTTTACCTCTCAGTGCCCGCAGGAGCTTCGTCCCACATCGTTGATTTAAATGTAAGTTTTAGTATTTATTAGAATATACTATCTATTTAATTGTTTTAATTGATTAAGTCAATAAATTAAATTAATATTTTAAATTTAAATAACATTTTTCAGGTAAAAAAAAAAAGGTTAGTGGTTGCTATGGCGTGACATAAGTGCATAGGTCATATTCATATAAACTATCCTGGGGGTGGTTAGTTGTTATTCATATAAAGTATAAACTATCCCTTCCCGGGGTGGGTTATGGGTTAGTTGGTACTTCCTTTCCGATCCTCCAATCCCCAGAGTTGGTCGGCTATTTTTATAAACTATTTCAAAACCACAAAACAAACAATTAAGGAAAACTGAGCTCACGAGGCTTGGAGTGTGGGTTGGTTCTCAAACCGAATAGAAAAAGTCAGGTGCGGTTCAAGCTAATTTGAGGGACGGGATGAGCCTCCTCGATTGTTTTCTAAGAAAGAGAGACCGGCTTCTATTTGCAACGAGAAAATATTTAATATAACCATGTTAGCAATGTTGACGGAATATTATTAATTAATAATAAAATATCAAATAAATACAATGAATTTCACTTGGTTATTGATTGGTAAAGTGGTATCATCGTTGTAATGAATATTTTTTTGTTTGCAAAACACAAAAGAGACAGAGAGAGAAAAGACAGACGCAGGAGAATAAAATGTGGGGTTTAAATACTTTTACTAAAAAAATAGAATTTTTGTTACTACTGAAATTCGATGGGTGGACCTTGTTAAAGTCTCGCTCTCCTACATACATGTTTCCATTTTTTCTTATTTTTGAAAACGTCTTTTTTTGTGTTTTCATTTTTTTGGCATTGTTTTTAAAATAGAGTTGCTAAAAAAACAGAAATACATCACAAATATATTTTTATTTTGGCAAAAATTAAAAACAAAAATATAAAAAAAATACAAAAATAATGTGTTATCAAATGCAACCTGCATGAGGCATTTTATTTTAGTGTTAAATTTTTAAAGAAATAAATTATTTTTAATTTTTTATGTGAAAGAGACACGAAGGTGTGTAAGTATTGCTGAGAAAAAAGTTTTAACTTTTATTTTTATTTTTTTACCGCAGAGAGAAAGAAAATTTAATTTTAACTTTAGTTTCTATTTTTTATTTTTTTTATCTAAGAAAGAGAATAAGCGGGAGTAAATATGAGTTAAATTTTAAATATTTTCTTTTGTTTTTTTAACGGGACAATTTCAATGTATCAATCAAAATCACTAGTCATTTTGACCAATCCTCTTCCTCTTCATTTCTAAAAAGTTGGAAATTCATTTTCATTTCTCGTAACATTTCACTTTGATTCTTCTTTATTTTTTAGTATGGATTAGATCAGGGGTCTAAATTATTACAATAAAATTTTTATTAGAACTTATTTTTTTAGAGCTTTTTCTGAGGAGCTTAATTTTAATGGATTTAATTTTTTTATATGCTAATAATATCCTTAAAATTATGGAACCTTCTAAAAATTTGAACCCTAAAACCCAAATTTTATTTTCCACGCTATTGAGCCGGCCCTAAAAAAAAGTTATAATAACTATGTGTTCAAAGAAAGTTTTGACTTTAAATTTTAAAAATAATAATTACAAAGTTTCTATATGGTACTAATTGGATCATTGCAGACCATGGAAAAGGTCAACACATCCGGCCTTATAAATAGGTGCAAATCCTCTTCTTTATTATACCCATCTCTCTCACTTCATATCCTATTAGCTTGTTCCTATTCAGATACCAGTCGTAACAATGGGGATCAAAGTCCACGGAGGTGTATTTTCAACCGCTACTATGCGAGTTTTCGCTTGCCTCAATGAAAAAGAGATTCACTTTGAGTTTACCGCCGTCGACATGCGTACCGGCGAGCACAAAAAGGAACATTTCCTTTTGCGAAATGTAAGTGTTACACTAACTCGTACTCCATATACCGACGACTACTTTCCTTAATTCCAAAAGCATCGGAAGGAGAACCGAGTGACCCTCTTGTATAATTTACATAAATCTTTTTTTTCTTCTCATAGCTTATAGAGCTCTACTTCATAGACTTTTTTCTTTGCTACTAAGTACTAACATGAAACCTTTAGTACCGGTTTAGTAGTTGAGTTTGTTCTTTAACAACTCAGATGTCTTAAATTTAATTCATTCTCAAACCCTATAAGGATCAATTATTTTTGTCTTTTTGGGAACATTTTTTAGACCAGCTCAAATTATAATGACCAACAATTAAATTCAAAGGAATAATCGGTGTAAACTTAAACACCTTATAAAAAAAAGAAAGTACTAACATGATGTGCAAATCTAATCATATACCCGGATTGTACAAGGACTGTTTTATTCTCATCATTTTGTGGTCTTTAGTGAGATTTTTCTTTGTCTATTGATGTAGCCATTTGGTAAACTACCAGCCTTTGAAGATGGAGATCTGAAGCTTTTTGGTAAGTTAGCTTGATGCTGTCTATGAACATACTGCTCTACTCTTCTTGTCGAAAAGCTATTTCGGGTTATATTATTTTGTGTACGTATTATATTTGAGTCATATCATTTTGAGACGTACGGTCAGTACTCCAAGGTCTACAAATAGACAGATATATGTAGGGAACTCCATAGATATACTCATTATGCATGTTGATGCTCGTGGGTACTGTTTCTCTGATCAGCAACTCCATAGATAATGTATTGATGAGTGGTTATGCAGAATCAAGGGCAATTACCAAATATATTGCATCCACACACTCACATAAGGGGACCCAGCTGGTGATTGAGGACCCAAAGAAGAAGGCAATCATGTCTGTGTGGATGGAAGTGGAGGCACACCAGTTTGACCCACCAGCTTCCAAGCTCACATGGGAGCTTGCTCTAAAGCCACAATTTGGCATGGTAATGTTGGTTTTTTTTTTTTTTTGGGGGGGTGAGATTTGGATAATTTTCATTTTCAATGTTCACATATAAATCTATTACTTCCACAATGGTAAACCAACAAAAATTAATAACCTCATAGATAAATCAAGTGGTAATAAAAACAAATTATAAATTTAGACGTCACAAATTTGAATTTTGACAATCCGATTAAAGATAGGTTATCCACGCCAGACTATGGAATTCACGAGGGATTATCCCTCATGGTCTACCTCCAAATAATTGTTAAAATTCAAACTCAGAACATTTGAATTTAAAACACATCATTGTTACCACTTAAATTACTGTTTTATTTCCAATAGGTAACCGATGAAGCAGTGGTGAAGGTGCATGAAGTTGAGCTGGCAAAGGTTCTTGACATCTATGAGGCTCGTTTGTCTGAGTCAAAGTACTTGGGTGGAGACTGCTTCACCTTGGTAGACCTACACCACCTTCCTACCATGCACTACTTGATGGGTACTAAAATTAAGGCACTGTTTGGTTCACGCCCCCATGTGAGTGCTTGGTGTGCTGAGTGCTTGGCAAGGCCAGCTTGGTTGAAGGTCGTTGCCATGCAGAAAAAGGAGTAATAAGCTTGCTTGTATAATACCTAAACCATTATCCTCCTCGGAGTGGCTTGTGATTTCCTTTGTGTTTTGTTTCAAACCTTCCGGTCTTCAAATCTTTTGATGAGAAGCTAATAAAAGTATGTATTATCTGTAAGATAGTGTGCTATGTAAAGAGGAGGTCAATGATCATTCTCCCCAATCTTACATTTCTATTTAGAAGCATGGTTGACGAGTATAGTGTCCATACCCTCAATTTGGAAAGAACTGAGACATTGACATATTAGTCATGACGTCGCGTACCAATATTGTGCAATACACACAAAATAACTAAGTAAAGGACAAGATTTGATAGTCACAAAAATCTCATGTCATTACAAATCAATTGGTAGGCACAAAAGTCATCATTTACGGACTTGTGAACAACGTTTTCTCAATTGTTTTTTCATAAATAATTCCATGGGATTTGAGGTTAAGTAAAATTTCTCTCCTTTTGTGTCTTCGATTTTCCTTTTTTTACACATCTTTTCCTCTTTTTCATTTTATTGGTACGACCACAATTTTAAGAAGTTAAGGAGTCAAACACAACTTTATCATTTCACAATAAAACTTAACTTATCTTCCGCCATTTTTAAATTTCATTCAAACACTATTATAATATCCATAGAGGACTCAAAAAAAGTTCATTCTTTGTTTTTTGGTTTAATGATCAAAGTTGTCTGAACTAACTTACGTACATTTCAACTAATTTTCTCTCCGATCTGATTAAAAACATACCATTCATGCTGAGATCAAAATATTCATGAAAAATAAATCTCTCGTGATCTAGCCTGAAAGGGGTCACAAAGATATAATAATAAGGTACCATTCATTCACGGCAATGGGATGTTATAATGCAATCTCTTTTTTTTAGTGAAAACTTATTATCAAAAGATGTTGATTTTATTTTTGATAAATAATAAATTGTAATAAAAGACAGCATTAAGAGAATCTTCAACCAATTCAAAATAAATTATTGAAATTAAAACTTGATTATTTTAGTAACAATTTTTTCAAATTTCATAATTTCTTGTAAGAAAAGTAAAATTATTACTTTTAGTTTCCAATCATGTACGATGAATTCAGTGGTACAATGTAAAATTTTGATAAAAAAAAAAAAAAAAAAACTAAATTTGCACTGAGGGATCCAAATCCATTGTCTTTTATATAATAAAATTCGACATAAAATCAATATTTTAAAACTTGGCCCAGATCAGTGGGTTAACCCGGAATCCACCGGACCCTAAATCAGGCTGGTTCATAAGTTCGATCGATTCAACATTACAGTCTGTTGAATGGCGGTTTTTGGCCAAATGTTCAAACCGGATTAGTTTTAATTAAACCGGTCGATTCACTGAAGTCCAATAAAAAATATAAATTTTGGCATTTTTACCCTAATCTAATCCGATCGTCTCTCATCCCACGTCTCAACCTCTGATTTGTCTCTCTCTCTCTCTCCTCTCAGTCTCTCTGCGCTCTCAGACTCTCTCCGTCCGTGGATCATCTCAGGAGTCACAAAACCCACCACCCCCATCGTCAATTCGTGGCCAACATCGTCAATGGAACAAGGTTTTAAGATTTTGCTTCAATACTTTCTTTCATTTCCTTCACTTGACTGGTACTCCATCACTCGTCTCTCTCTCTCTCTCTCTCTCTCACACACACACACACAGTCTTTCTGCATTCTCAGATAGTGATTGTTTCTCAGATAGCGACTGTTTTTGGTTATGGGGTTAATGATTTTGCTTCAATACCTATTTTCGACGAATTATTTTGTGAATATTGAACTTAATTCAGTGAAGATTTTGGAAAATTTTGGACTGTTTTCGTCAACCTGTAACTGACCACGTGAGAGCTCCTTAATTTTGCAAGATTGCACAGATTTTTCACCTTTGTCTTACTGCACCAAGGGAAACTGACCTCACCACATTATTACCGAGAAACGGCTGATTTGCAAATGACACTTCCCTTCATAACTTTGGATTCTAATAGACTTCATGGCTGGTGATTGCAGGTGGTGGTTCTGTATTACCATGTTGAGTTGTAGTGTGCATCTGATCAGTTTTGACATATGTTTTATCAAAAAATTTGTTCTACTGTTTCTTTAATTTTTTTTCCTTTTGTGTCTATTGTTGTTCCTGAATCATGAGTTCCTTTTGCTAGTCAAATTGATTTCAGAATTGAATTTATAGCATGGATATTTAATTATGTTTATATGTGGATGTATGAGGCTATGAGCTTTGTAATGTAAGGTTGTTGAATCTAGAATTTCTATCATACATATTAGGTACTGATATTGATAATTATTTTTAACATATTTATTATCGTTAGTAATCTAGATTCAATATCCATATAGTTATTGATATTGAATCTAGAATTTCTATCATCCATATTAGTTATTGATATTGATAATTATTTTTAACATATTTATTATCATTAGTAATTATTTTTTATTTTTTATTGTATGACCGGTTTGACGAGTGATCTCATGATTGAACCAGTTATCCATTATTCCGGTCTTTTTACTGGGTTGATGTTCAAGCTGGTTTTTAAAAAATATGCATAAAATACAATCACCGTCCAAATCGTTGCTGACCATTTATATTTTAACCTTACAATATGGACACAGACACATTCTTACTTGGTGTCTTCGCTTGTTTGAAACCCCAACAGAGTGGTACTTGTGCAGACAGACGGGGTCGAAGCTGAGCCATGCAAAGCTGTTGGACTGAGCAGGTCTCTGTAATTTACAATTGAAATTTGAAGATTAAGAGGGAGGAGAGAGAGATCAAAGAATGAGGATAGTAGGGCTTACGGGAGGGATTGGATCAGGGAAGAGTACAGTGTCCAATCTTTTCAAAGCTAACGGCATTCCCGTTGTTGACGCCGATCTCGTTGCCCGTGTAAGTCTTCGAATTCCACTTTGTTATCTTTTATCTGAATTTCAAACCCTATTCTTGATTGCAATTAAATTTTATGATAAAACCCTATATATATGATTTTGAAATTTGGGACAAGAGTAGAATTGATGAACATGACTAAGATTTGGAAAATCTTTTTAAAAGAGAAGACCATAGAGTTGTGATCAAACAAAAAAGCTTTTTGTTTGGCGGAGGGGGATTAGATTAAAAAAGAAAAAAAAGGTGTTTAAGCTTTATGAGAAAGATATCTTTAATTTTTGTTCTTTCTAAATAGCGTTGCAAGTTAATTAACAGGACGTTCTAAAGAAAGGCACTGGTGGTTGGAAAAAAGTAGTTGCAGCATTCGGTCAGGATATCTTACAGCCTAATGGAGAAGTTGATAGGCCAAAGCTAGGCCAAATTGTGTTTTCTGATCCTGATAAGCGTCAACTTCTCAATAGGTACAAAATTCTGGCTGCAAAGGATAATGAAAGTTTTCTCAATGCATATTTGGTGGCATTTAAATACAGCAACTTCCCTGTGTTACTTTCTTATCTGCATCTTTCTGAAAATTTTCATGTAGACAATGCATACTCTTGTGGATTGATACTTGGGAGTGCGGCTAGTGAACATGGATTAATTGTTCCTTGTTTCCAATTCATCCTGCTAATAGAGTCGTTCATTTGATACAAGATGAGAATCTTCAAACTACATTTTTGTAGTTTTCAACGAGGTTGCTATTTTCTTTGAACACGTGACTGCTGTTGGTGGAGAAACGAATATTTTTTTCTGCAAGCTTCTCTTCCTGGATTACTAATTGTAAGGACGTGAGGAGAATGTTGAAATGCAAGTGACATTGCTCTATGGTTTAGGTTTAGTGGTAACCATAACTGCATCCTAATTGAGGTTGTAGACTTTGTCATGCATATTAAGGGTGCCTTTCAATTTACATGATTCACATTTTATCAAGTGTGAGGATCTTGAATGTGGATTTTTTATATGATAAATTCACCACTACCTTTTTCGAAGCCAGAAAAATTATCAATTCAGAAGCGTTTTCTCCGATCTAAGTTAATTAAACAAAGATATCAAGAGCTGAATTGAGCCACCACTGACATTTATTGATCAACCAGCCATAAGGTGTTCATTTGATGTCTGGGAGTGCATATTCTAGTCTACCATATTAAGGGAATGTGTCTGGTATGTTTGGCATATTCCCTTTGAAATGTTGCAACATTGCAGCATGAGAGAACATTACATGTTCAAGGGCAACTTTCACAATAGAGAAGGAAATAACAACTTGCAAGTGGAAAATATGCAGTTGAACAAAGATATTACTCTCTACTATATGAAATCAAGCTTATGCAACCTCTAAGAGGGAACACCTCCTATAAAAGATACAAGTACACACTGCACCAGTGGCTTTAAGGTCTTACTTTTACACTGGCATCCATCATACTGTAAAGCAACTTGTATTCATTTCCTCTTAGCATACTTTTTAGGTAAAACTTTGATGTCGGGAAAGCAAATTTTCCTTTCAAGCCCTGCCAAACTTGAATTTGAATATGTTGTCTGCTTTATCCAGATTAACCTCAAGCGTGAACCTCTTTAATTTTGGGACCTCTTGTTTTCTTTTGCATTGCCTGAAATTTCATATGCTAATCTTGTTCTGGATCTTTAGAGAATTGTGTTGAATAATCTGTCATGAATGCTTCTCCAACTCTTGAACTTGGCCTTTTCTATTCTTGCAGGCTGTTGGCACCTTATATTTCATCAGGTATTTTTTGGGAAGTTTTGAAGCTGTGGATGAAGGGCTGTAAGGTTATTGTTCTTGATATCCCTTTATTGTTCGAGGCCAAGATGGACAAGTGGACAAAACCCATCATTGTTGTATGGGTCGATCCTGAAACACAGCTTCGGCGACTAATGGCAAGAGACAGGACATCAGTGGAAGAGGCTAAAAGCAGGATAAATGCTCAGATGCCATTAGATGTGAAAAGGGCTAAGGCAGACATAATCATTGGTAATACTGGATCACTAGATGATCTGAATGAACATTTTCATAAGGTTTTAGTCCAAGTCATGAAGCCCTTGACATGGAATGAGTTTGCACTCTCCAGACAAGGAGCTTTTGTGGCTTTTATTTCGATTTTTGTTGGTGTTATTATATGCAGGAAAATGTTATAATGGTATATTGGTATTGCTTAGCTATGATGACAATTTCAGGATTTTAACAGTAAAGATTTATCCCTGTACCACATTAAACAAATGTGTGCTTCATTCAGATGGGTTGTATGCATGTTCTGACAATTAGTGTGGACAGAGTGTGCGTGTTTGGTACATACTTAAATAGAGGATGATTTTTGTAGTAAAATTTGAACTAGATTCTGTTAACCAAGTTCCAAAAGCCCGTATTTTTGTGGTATAACTCATCACTTCAAATATTTTCTGGTCGAGTTTGTTCCTTCAAAAAAGGACAATACTAGTCGCTGGGAAAGAAGGGCCATTTTGGATATTGATTTGCATTTTGTCAGGGGAAGAATGCCATTGATGCTGATTACACTAGGCCCATCAACTGCCCAGGTACATGTTTGAATTTTGTATTGACAGTATTATTGAGATTATTTTGTGTGCAAATTAAAATCATGTGGGCTATCCGTTAAATTTGTTCAGCTACCAGAAATAATTGTCTAACAGGCTGAATATTTAGCATGAACTTGCTGCCTTTATAAATTGATGGCATGTCTGCACAGTTTGGGTTATCCGATATTCTCACCTTGTACAATCTCAATAATTTTTCTGATCAAGGAACTAATATTGAAATTACTTTTAGAATTTGTCAGACAACGCTACTTGTTTTTCCCGGAAATTGACAATTTCTTTCGTTTGAAGGAAACGATGACATTATGGGTCCTGTTGAAATTAAATTCTAATCTTTAGAGAGGTTTCAGCTCCCATCTGGGGTCAAAGTGCATTAATGTCCCAATTGATATCTGATGTGCTGCAGGCTATTGGTGGATGGCAAAGATCCAATGCCTAAATTTTTACTGTCCCTTTGAAATGAGAAATTCCATTGGTTACCACTCATATCTTCTCTTTCATAATCTCTATTACGGGCTTTCTGATGTCATCCTCACAGGTGAGGTGACCAACTTTGGGACATAGTCAAATAAAGTGTATCTGGTAACTAAAATTTTATCATTTCCAGATTTTATGTTGTTGTGGTTTCTTGCCTGGGAGGAAGGTTACTGTTGGAACATGGCAAGCTTTCGTTTCTTTCTAAGTTCTGTAGTTCAACTTTATGCTCAGTATTTTAATAATAGGCTTGTGACAAGTGGCAACCACTTGTTTTGTTGAGTATTTTTTCATGAGATTTACAATTACAACGTTGAGCTCTTGGTCAATAATTATTTCAGTCATTGATGCTGTATTTGTTTTCTACATCATTTGTTTTTATGGTAATATCACAACTTTTAGCTTTGCTGCGTTTGGTTGTAGTGGTTTTTACATTAGATGTGAGCTTTCTGAAGCGTTGAGATCACATTGTTGTTGTATGTACTTTATTGTATTTAAAAGTGTGTTGCTGAAACACAGTTGTTGTTTCACCAGTTGCTGCTTTAGGCTATCCTAACAAAGATAGAAAACCAAGTCTGAATGAATGATTTGAGACTTTTACTAGATCATTGGAAAGTCTAGGTGTCATCGTGTACCAAGTGGGAGAATTTACTGTGACTGAGGTTTTGTACCTTATGAAATCATTGTGGCTGCTAGCTTGTACATATCAATCTTTAACTCATTAAATTAACTTTTTTTTTTTCTAACTGAGGATGAGTTGTGAGTGCAAAGTGTTGTCACTGTGGCAATCTCTCCCTTAAAAGTTTAGTAAAGCTATTGGCCTATAGAAAGTTTGAGATGTAAAGGCAGGCTCCATTAGAGTGTTGTGGGCCATTTTTAATTCTTAATAAAAAGTTTCCTTTAGAGTATTTTGTTCTGTCTTGGGGCATTGTGTGCTGTCTTTGTATAGCACCTTTTAGAGTATTTTGTGATGTTTTCATATTCTATCTCCAGCGTTAAAACTATAGGAAAATGGAAAGTTCTACCATTGTTTATTGATTATCCTTCACATCCTTGCAATTTGCCTGAATGTTTGTTCTCATCTGCTGTATAGTATGCTTTTTGCCTTTTTCTGTAGGTAGAGGTGTATCTTGGACAAGTTATTGCTCATTTTTCAAAGTAAGGTAGGTATATGCAGCCAGCTGATATTTGTTTCTCAGTGTCAGGATAAAAGTTTTCTCGTTCTTTAAGCAATTTTTGGTGTTGAAATAATTAGAAGGTATAAGGGTTAAGTTTCTCAGGCATTATTCTAGGTTTGTTTGTTGACATTGCTTGTGCTCCAGACCTTGGTAGACAGTGGCCCCTATTGGTTCTAGTTTCGTTCCCCATGACGGAAGCGTAAAGAAACCAGAGACCCAAGGGAAAAAAACTCTAGTACTGTGCGTCTTACTCGTTGGACTTTGGATGGTTCCACGTTATCAGATTCAACTGCTTTCATATTGATAATTTTAAGTCAATATTGTGAAACTATAATCATCCAGATTGTTTTGTCATCGGTGAATTGTTGCTTGCATTTCACCTGAATTTATGTAATGCCTTCAATAGTCCGTAAAATTAATACTTGTAGGGCTTATTATGTCATAAGCATAGACTTTCATGTGATACGCGCAGGTAATTCAACACAACTTGGTTGTGTAATCTTCATACAAAATATAAGGGAGGTCAAGTTTTGGAGAGTACAATCTGTTTTCATTAAGGTTGCTTTGTTGATGCATTTCAGTGAGTATTAAGTCANGGTCAAGTTTTGGAGAGTACAATCTGTTTTCATTAAGGTTGCTTTGTTGATGCATTCCAGTGAGTATTAAGTCAAATCTCTCTCTCTCTCTCTCACACACACACACACATGTATATATACATTTAGTAAAGTTGGATGACTAACGTTTGCTCTCCATTTAANTCTCTCTCTCTCTCTCTCTCTCTCTCTCTCTCTCTCACACACACACACACACACACATGTATATATACATTTAGTAAAGTTGGATGACTAACGTTTGCTCTCCATTTAACCCAAAGAATACAAGTTGATATGTGTGTGTTGGTCCTTGTAGTGGGTTGCTTTTGAGTGACCTATCACCCATTTTTACTGATTTTTGTCTGTTTTCTGGCTATTGGGTCATGATGATAACCCCAATCAGATGACTTAAAAAAAACCAGCTGGAATGGTGAGACCATGCATGGTTGGAGGGTATAGTGGGCAAAGATAAAACTTAAAATCGTAACGCCAAAGTCTATTTAATGAAACGAAAGCTCTCGAATCTAACCAGAAAGTGTTAGAACTTAATAGTCGCTTGCTGGCAGGCTNGTTTTCTGGCTATTGGGTCATGATGATAACCCCAATCAGATGACTTAAAAAAAACCAGCTGGAATGGTGAGACCATGCATGGTTGNTATTGGGTCATGATGATAACCCCAATCAGATGACTTAAAAAAAACCAGCTGGAATGCTGAGGCCATGCATGGTTGGAGGAGGGTATAGTGGGCAAAGATAAAACTTAAAATCGTAACGCCAAAGTCTATTTAATGAAACGAAAGCTCTCGAATCTAACCAGAAAGTGTTAGAACGCAATAGTCGCTTGCTAGCAGGGTCGTTGATTGTTGGATCTGGGAGCTGTGTCCTATTTGATGTTAACATAATACTGCCAGCCCTAGACCTATGGATCACTTAGACTTAGTTTTACATGGATATACTGTTCAAAAAAAAAAAGTTTTACATGGATATGGATGGTAAGGTGTACTTATTTAAGGTTATTTTTTATTTTCATGTTGTTATCGGGCAAAATTTGATTAACGGGATTAACAATGGTTGGCATATTAATTATCATTGTTTTTCATTAGATTAATAATATATTTAAATAATTGATAAATTGTGTTTAATTAAGGTCATTATAGTTTAAAAATAATAAATAATGCTATATAGACTTAAAAATAAGATTCAATAATTATAATTATTAATTTTAACGTGGGACACAGTATTTATAGACATTAACTATTTATTTAATAGTTTTTAAGTCTATCTGATGTTTCTTAAAAAGAATTCAATCACGTGACATTGACGACGTGTCATTCGCTAGTTGTTTAGTCAGTGTTGAGCTGACGTGGCTACCACAGGCAAGTTGTNACTTAGTTTTACATGGATATACTGTTCAAAAAAAAAAAAGTTTTACATGGATATGGATGGTAAGGTGTACTTATTTAAGGTTATTTTTTATTTTCATGTTGTTATCGGGCAAAATTTGATTAACGGGATTAACAATGGTTGGCATATTAATTATCATTGTTTTTCATTAGATTAATAATATATTTAAATAATTGATAAATTGTTTTTAATTAAGGTCATTATAGTTTAAAAATAATAAATAATGTTATACAGACTTAAAAATAAGATTCAATAATTATAATTATTAATTTTAACGTGGGACACAGTATTTATAGACATTAACTATTTATTTAATAGTTTTTAAGTCTATCTGATGTTTCTTAAAAAGAATTCAATCACGTGACATTGACGACGTGTCATTCGCTAGTTGTTTATGTTGAGCTGACGTGGCTACCACAGGCAAGTTTTATCTTCCACCCTTTTTAGTCCCAGTTTCACTCCCCTCTTCGCTCTGCCTAGAAGGCTTTCCTTCCCTTTCTGTCCGCTTCAAACCTCCCCTTCCCTTGCACTCGAATCCAGTCTCTCTCTCTCTCTCTCTCTCTCTCTCTCTCACACACACACACATACAGAGGGTGCGTGTTTTACTAGCTATATTTGCTGGAATGGCAAAAACACATGNCTCTCTCTCTCTCTCTCTCTCTCTCTCTCACACACACACACAGAGGGTGCGTGTTTTACTAGCTATATTTGCTGGAATGGCAAAAACACAAGGTGATGATGCCTCAGAACCCCTGAAATATCAGGTGAAAGTATAAACCTCTCTCTCCCTCCCCCCTCTCTCTCTCTGTCACGCACGCACACACACGCACGCACGCACACGCAGACGCACACGCATACATGTACTCATTATTTGTAATGTCTTCCTAACATTCCATGCNATATCAGGTGAAAGTATAAACCTCTCTCTCCCTCCCCCCTCTCTCTCTCTGTCACGCACGCACGCACGCACGCACACGCACACGCACACGCACACGCACACGCACACGCACACGCATACATGTACTCATTATTTGTAATGTCTTCCTAACATTCCATACTCATTGTTCTGGTTTCTGCAGACATGGGCCTTGAAAGTCTCCATCCACTGCGAAGGCTGCAGGAAGAAAGTTAAGAAAATCCTTCAGAGCATCGATGGTAACAAACAGATATTGCTTTTTTTCTCTTTAAATATATGCTCTTTTATATATAAATGTATGTGTGCATGTCATACCCCTCCAATTTTAGAGTAATTCTATGTCGACTCGTTTGGGTTTATGATCTTGACATTTATGTAGCTGTCAATTGCTGCTATTTCTGGTGACTTGGTCTCTTTATATACTGGTTTTACTTTGTTTTCTTACTCCATTTCAGGTGTTTATACGACAGAGATCGATTCTCAGCAACAAAAGGTTATAGTAACAGGAAACGTGAACGCAGAGACTTTGATCAAGAAGCTGGTGCAAAAAGGGAAGCACGCCGAGCTTTGGCCGCAAAATTCTGCCAATCAGGAGAAAAAGTCCGGCAAGTCAAAGAAGAAGAAGAAACAAAACGACTCCAAAAGTAGCGGAAACACAAGTGATGCTGAGAACAATTTAGCGGACAAAACAGAACACTCTGCTAAAGATAGTGCCAGTGGAAAAGCAACCGAGAGTGGGCAGGCTGAGAAGAAGCCGGAGAACACTCAAGATGGCGGTGATCAGTCGCCGGCGGAGGAGGAAGAGGGTGGTGAAAATGAGGAGGCTGCTCCGGCAGGCGGTAATGGCGGCGGCGGCGGCAATGGAGGTAAAAAGAAGAAAAAGAAGGGGAAAAAGAGTAATACAACCAACGGTGAGGGTGCAAACGGAGGCGATGCACCGGCGGGCACCGGATCTCCTATGGTTACTGGGGAGCTTGACCCACGTACTGGGCCGATGAATCTCAGCCGTCCACTTCCGCAGGAATACCCATATCCACCATCCTTTTATCCACCACCAGTATATGGGTTAAGCTACAATGCTTCGTATCCAAGTACTAGCTCTTCCTATTATATGCCACCACGGTATGCTTATACTCATGACCCACGACCCTATAGTTACCCACCACCACCTCCACCGTCTGATCCGATTGGGACATATAACGATGATCATGAATATGATGATGATGAAGGTGGGTGCTTTATCATGTGAAGACAAAAATGGGTTATGTGCTTTGAGGTATAAGTAGAAAAGAAACTATGGTATGTATAAAATTAGGTATTAAGTGGGAGGAGGGGAGGTAATTATATAGGGGGGAAATCGAAGAGGTTGTTTTGGGGGGTCTTATGTTGTTTGTTTTTATCAAGAATTGCTTACTATTTTGGGTTTGCTTAACCATATAACCTTGTAATGCTTGGTTGTTTGTATGACATGTAAATCTGCCCTTTCCTATCTTTATTATGTGTAAAGTAGGTTTTTGTTTATGCTTTTTATTTCTCTCTTTTGCACACATACACACACTTCATGAGGAAGGAGATGACAAAGGACTACGATTTCAGTAAATGGTTTTCCTTTTGGAAAGCAAGCTTTCCCTTTGGCTGAAAACTTGATGTGTGTGTGAGATGCCTTTAGCTTTTACTTTTAGCAATGTCACTGGACAGCCCACTCTGGATTGAAAGCTAGTTTGTGTGGTTATTTTTAGCTTTTTCTTTCTTTTTAGTCTTTGAAAGAGCTTTGGGATGGGTCCCCACAAGTGGGTGTTGCTTTGGTTTTGTTATTTTGAGGATCTGATCATTTCAAGGCATAGGGGGTGGTAGCATTGGCCAAAAAGGTTGTGGTGGTTGTGATCTGGTTAATGTTTGGATGAAATCCATATCCCACTAAAATCACCAAATTCTCCATTTTTTGGTTGTGTGTATATGGTTTTTTGAGTTCAATTGACCAACAATTTAGAATATAAGATCGGTTAAAATCGTTTGGCATAGCTGATCTGATGTTGCTATCAAGGATTAAAATATCTATTTGAAACAGTTAAAACATTTGAAACGTTTTTATTTATAAGACCAAAATAAAGCAGAGCTTAAATCAAAAGTTCAAGGATAAATTACATTCACACCCCCCCGAGTATATTGCCAATATTTTTGAGTTTTTTTTTGTAATAAACTTCTAATTTTTTATTGTTTCATTATGTTTCGAGAAATTTTGATGCTCATTTCTTGTAACATCTTAAGGGTGGAGATGAGATATGGTTCAAAATTCATTGTTGTCAATTAGAAAAAATAAAAACATTAATGCAAGGTCGGTTTGGTATAGTTTTCATGTAGAAAAAATAAAAACATTAATGCAAGGTCGATTTGGTATAGTTTTCATGTAGAGTAAACCAACAGTGTTGAAAATGAATTAGATATATTATATATATTTAGAGTAAATTATATATCTAACCCTCAAATTATAACCCTCGTGTCAATTAAGGTCTTAAACTCTTTTTTGTGTTAATTGAGCACTTAAACTTTCTAATTGTGTCAATTGAGTCTTTTTGTCTACCACTATTAGATTTTATCTAACAGAAGTGAAGAAGTGGGCCACTCACGTGAAACAAATGAATTAGAGTAAACGTAAACTATATATATGATTCTCAAAATATGACCCATCTATCAATTAATCCCCTGACCTTTTTTTGTGTCTCAACTAAGTTCTTATGTTTTTTTATGTCATATGGTCACGTGAGTGACACGCTCTAACGAAGATAGATAGAAGGATTTAATTGACACAATTAGAGAGTTCAAAAGTTCAATTAACAAAACCAACAAAAAAACAGGAACTTAATTGACACAAAATTATAATTTAAGGATTATACGTATAGTTTACTCATATATGTATGTATGTTCAAAGGGTAGAAGTCTTGATCTCATCTATACTTTTACGAGAACAAGAAAATATCCTTCTGCTGCACCTTTTATCCATTTAGAATATAAGATCGGTTAAAATTGTTTGGCATAACTAATCTGATGTTCCTATCAAGAATTAAAATATTCATTTGAAACAGTCAAAACATTCGAAATATTTTAATTTTTAAGAGCAAAATAAAAGAGAGCTTGAATTAAAATTTCAAGGATAAATTACATTCACACCCCCCGAGTATATTGCCAATATTTTGGAGTTTTTTTTTTGTAATAAACTTCTAAATTTTTATTGTTTCATTCTGTTTGGAGAAATTTTGATGCTCATTTCTTATAACATCTTAAGGATGGAGATGAGATATGGTTTTTTTTTTTATTTGAGACAAACTACAGTCTTTCTACTTAAAAGTAAAAATGTCATAGCTGTTATATAACCCACACACGTCCAAAGGTTATCCGATGTGGAATAGCCCAAACCCATCACCACCCACACCCAAAGGCCTATAGATGAGATATGGTTCAAAATTCATTGTTGTCAATTAGAAAAAATAACAACATTAATGCAAGGTCGATTTGGAATAGTTTTCATGCAGAGTAAACCAACAGTGTTGAAAATGAACTAGATATATTCTATATATTTAGAGTAAATTATATATCTGGGTCTCAAATTTTAACCCTTGTGTCAATTAAGGTCTTAAATCTTTTTTGTGTCAATTGAGCACTTGAACTTTTTAATTGTGTCAATTGACTCCTTCTGTCTATCTTTGTTAAATTTTATCTAACGGAAGTGATGAAGTGGGTCATTCACGTGACACAACGTAAACTATATATATGACCCTCAAAATATGACCCTTCTATCAATTAAACCCCTAATNCAACCGAGAGTGGGCAGGCTGAGAAGAAGCCGGAGAACACTCAAGATGGCGGTGATCAGTCGCCGGCGGAGGAGGAAGAGGGTGGTGAAAATGAGGAGGCTGCTCCGGCAGGCGGTAATGGCGGCGGCGGCGGCAATGGAGGTAAAAAGAAGAAAAAGAAGGGGAAAAAGAGTAATACAANTTTGTGTCTCAATTAAGTTCTTATGTCTTTTTATGTCATATGGTCACGTGAGTGACGCGCTCTAACGAAGATAGACAGAAGGGCTTAATTGACGCAATTAAAGAGTTTAGAAATTCAATTAACAAAACAAAAAAGANGGCTGCTCCGGCAGGCGGTAATGGCGGCGGCGGCGGCAATGGAGGTAAAAAGAAGAAAAAGAAGGGGAAAAAGAGTAATACAACCAACGGTGAGGGTGCAAACGGAGGCGATGCACCGGCGGGCACCGGATCTCCTATGGTTACTGGGGAGCTTGACCCACGTACTGGGCCGATGAATCTCAGCCGTCCACTTCCGCAGGAATACCCATATCCACCATCCTTTTATCCACCACCAGTATATGGGTTAAGCTACAATGCTTCGTATCCAAGTACTAGCTCTTCCTATTATATGCCACCACGGTATGCTTATACTCATGACCCACGACCCTATAGGTACCCACCACCACCTCCACCGTCTGATCCGATTGGGACATATAACGATGATCATGAATATGATGATGATGAAGGTGGGTGCTTTATCATGTGAAGACAAAAATGGGTTATGTGCTTTGAGGTATAAGTAGAAAAGAAACTATGGTATGTATAAAATTAGGTATTAAGTGGGAGGAGGGGAGGTAATTATATAGGGGGGAAATCGAAGAGGTTGTTTTGGGGGGCCTTATGTTGTTTGTTTTTATCAAGAATTGCTTACTATTTTGGGTTTGCTTAACCATATAACCTTGTAATGCTTGGTTGTTTGTATGACATGTAAATCTCCCCTTTCCTATCTTTATTATGTGTAAAGTAGGTTTTTGTTTATGCTTTTTATTTCTCTCTTTTGCACACATACACACACTTCATGAGGAAGGAGATGACAAAGGACTACGATTTCAGTAAATGGTTTTCCTTTTGGAAAGCAAGCTTTCCCTTTGGCTGAAAACTTGATGTGTGTGTGAGATGCCTTTAGCTTTTACTTTTAGCAATGTCACTGGACAGCCCACTTTGGATTGAAAGCTAGTTTGTGTGGTTATTTTTAGCTTTTTCTTTCTTTTTAGTCTTTGAAAGAGCTTTGGGATGGGTCCCCACAAGTGGGTGTTGCTTTGGTTTTGTTATTTTGAGGATCTGATCATTTCAAGGCATAGGGGGTGGTAGCATTGGCCAAAAAGGTTGTGGTGGTTGTGATCTGGTTAATGTTTGGATGAAATCCATATCCCACTAAAATCACCAAATTCTCCATTTTTTGGTTGTGTGTATATGGTTTTTTGAGTTCAATTGACCAACAATTTAGAATATAAGATCGGTTAAAATCGTTTGGCATAGCTGATCTGATGTTGCTATCAAGGATTAAAATATCTATTTGAAACAGTTAAAACATTTGAAACGTTTTTATTTATAAGACCAAAATAAAGCAGAGCTTAAATCAAAAGTTCAAGGATAAATTACATTCACACCCCCCCGAGTATATTGCCAATATTTTTGAGTTTTTTTTTGTAATAAACTTCTAATTTTTTATTGTTTCATTATGTTTCGAGAAATTTTGATGCTCATTTCTTGTAACATCTTAAGGGTGGAGATGAGATATGGTTCAAAATTCATTGTTGTCAATTAGAAAAAATAAAAACATTAATGCAAGGTCGGTTTGGTATAGTTTTCATGTAGAAAAAATAAAAACATTAATGCAAGGTCGATTTGGTATAGTTTTCATGTAGAGTAAACCAACAGTGTTGAAAATGAATTAGATATATTATATATATTTAGAGTAAATTATATATCTAACCCTCAAATTATAACCCTCGTGTCAATTAAGGTCTTAAACTCTTTTTTGTGTTAATTGAGCACTTAAACTTTCTAATTGTGTCAATTGAGTCTTTTTGTCTACCACTATTAGATTTTATCTAACAGAAGTGAAGAAGTGGGCCACTCACGTGAAACAAATGAATTAGAGTAAACGTAAACTATATATATGATTCTCAAAATATGACCCATCTATCAATTAATCCCCTGACCTTTTTTTGTGTCTCAACTAAGTTCTTATGTTTTTTTATGTCATATGGTCACGTGAGTGACACGCTCTAACGAAGATAGATAGAAGGATTTAATTGACACAATTAGAGAGTTCAAAAGTTCAATTAACAAAACCAACAAAAAAACAGGAACTTAATTGACACAAAATTATAATTTAAGGATTATACGTATAGTTTACTCATATATGTATGTATGTTCAAAGGGTAGAAGTCTTGATCTCATCTATACTTTTACGAGAACAAGAAAATATCCTTCTGCTGCACCTTTTATCCATTTAGAATATAAGATCGGTTAAAATTGTTTGGCATAACTAATCTGATGTTCCTATCAAGAATTAAAATATTCATTTGAAACAGTCAAAACATTCGAAATATTTTAATTTTTAAGAGCAAAATAAAAGAGAGCTTGAATTAAAATTTCAAGGATAAATTACATTCACACCCCCCCGAGTATATTGCCAATATTTTGGAGTTTTTTTTTTGTAATAAACTTCTAAATTTTTATTGTTTCATTCTGTTTGGAGAAATTTTGATGCTCATTTCTTATAACATCTCAAGGGTGGAGATGAGATATGGTTTTTTTTTATTTGAGACAAACTACAGCCTTTCTATTTAAAAGTAAAAATGTCATAGTTGTTATATAACCCACACACATCCAAAGGTTATCCGATGTAGAATAGCCCAAACCCATCAGCACCCACACCCAAAGGCCTATAGATGAGATATGGTTCAAAATTCATTGTTGTCAATTAGAAAAAATAACTAAATTAATGCAAGGTCGATTTGGAATAGTTTTCGTGCAGAGTAAACCAACAGTGTTGAAAATGAACTAGATATATTCTATATATTTAGAGTAAATTATATATCTGGCTCTCAAATTTTAACCCTTGTGTCAATTAAGGTCTTAAATATTTTTTGTGTCAATTGAGCACTTAAACTTTTTAATTGTGTCAATTGAATCCTTCTGTCTATCTTTGTTAAATTTTATCTAATGGAAGTGATGAAGTGGGTCATTCACGTGACACAAATGAGTTAGAGTAAACATAAACTATATATACGACCCTTCTATCAATTAAACCCCTAATTTTTTTTTTTGTGTCTCAATTAAGTTCTTATGTCTTTTTATGTCATATGGTCACGTGAGTGACACGCTCTAACGAAGATATACAGAAGGGCTTAATTGACGCAATTAAAGAGTTTAGAAATTCAATTAACAAAACAAAAAAAAACAGGAACTTAATTGACACAAGGTTATAATTTAAGGGTTATATGTATAGTTTACTCATATAATGTATGTATGTTCAAAGGGTAGAAGTCTTGATATCATCTATACTTTTATAAGAACAAGAAAATATCCTTCTGCTGCACCTTTTATCCATTTAGAATATTCAGGTTGGATCATTCCTCTTGTCATAAACAGAAAGTGTAGACTTATATATCCTATCAGATATTCTTCATCAATCATCAACACACGAGCTTTGCAACTCAACTACTTACCAACTTCTTAGCTCATTCAAACACACACACACACACACAGAGACTCGTGTCAAAGGAAAAAAAAACTTCTTTTTAGGATCATTATTGTGTTCCTTTTTGTAATTATATATACTTAATTATTGCTGATAAAACATAAAAAAAATGCTTTTCCGCAACCCAACGGATGAAAAGTATGAGGAATGATATCTTTAGGGTCCTCCGGAGGGGGACTGATTGCCAGAATCCAGAAAAGTTGCCAAAGTCTATGCCATCGAATACCCATTCAGCATTGCTTTATGGTCAAGGAGATCAACTTTGGGTCGACCTATTATTTGAAATTTGTGAAAGAAATGGAATTGCAGGATTGTCTTTTGTGCTTCTGAAAAAAATATATCATGACAGGAAGAGTGGAAGACAAATATTCATAATAAATGATGAGAATATCGTAATAAAATTATTTTTTAAACTCTCTCTGATCATAATTGGCAAGTCTTTTTGGATAGGATTATTAATACGGACCCNTTTTTATTGTTTCATTCTGTTTGGAGAAATTTTGATGCTCATTTCTTATAACATCTCAAGGGTGGAGATGAGATATGGTTTTTTTTTATTTGAGACAAACTACAGCCTTTCTATTTAAAAGTAAAAATGTCATAGTTGTTATATAACCCACACACATCCAAAGGTTATCCGATGTAGAATAGCCCAAACCCATCAGCACCCACACCCAAAGGCCTATAGATGAGATATGGTTCAAAATTCATTGTTGTCAATTAGAAAAAATAACTAAATTAATGCAAGGTCGATTTGGAATAGTTTTCGTGCAGAGTAAACCAACAGTGTTGAAAATGAACTAGATATATTCTATATATTTAGAGTAAATTATATATCTGGCTCTCAAATTTTAACCCTTGTGTCAATTAAGGTCTTAAATATTTTTTGTGTCAATTGAGCACTTAAACTTTTTAATTGTGTCAATTGAATCCTTCTGTCTATCTTTGTTAAATTTTATCTAATGGAAGTGATGAAGTGGGTCATTCACGTGACACAAATGAGTTAGAGTAAACATAAACTATATATACGACCCTTCTATCAATTAAACCCCTAATTTTTTTTTTTGTGTCTCAATTAAGTTCTTATGTCTTTTTATGTCATATGGTCACGTGAGTGACACGCTCTAACGAAGATATACAGAAGGGCTTAATTGACGCAATTAAAGAGTTTAGAAATTCAATTAACAAAACAAAAAAAAACAGGAACTTAATTGACACAAGGTTATAATTTAAGGGTTATATGTATAGTTTACTCATATAATGTATGTATGTTCAAAGGGTAGAAGTCTTGATATCATCTATACTTTTATAAGAACAAGAAAATATCCTTCTGCTGCACCTTTTATCCATTTAGAATATTCAGGTTGGATCATTCCTCTTGTCATAAACAGAAAGTGTAGACTTATATATCCTATCAGATATTCTTCATCAATCATCAACACACGAGCTTTGCAACTCAACTACTTACCAACTTCTTAGCTCATTCAAACACACACACACACACACAGAGACTCGTGTCAAAGGAAAAAAAAACTTCTTTTTAGGATCATTATTGTGTTCCTTTTTGTAATTATATATACTTAATTATTGCTGATAAAACATAAAAAAAATGCTTTTCCGCAACCCAACGGATGAAAAGTATGAGGAATGATATCTTTAGGGTCCTCCGGAGGGGGACTGATTGCCAGAATCCAGAAAAGTTGCCAAAGTCTATGCCATCGAATACCCATTCAGCATTGCTTTATGGTCAAGGAGATCAACTTTGGGTCGACCTATTATTTGAAATTTGTGAAAGAAATGGAATTGCAGGATTGTCTTTTGTGCTTCTGAAAAAAATATATCATGACAGGAAGAGTGGAAGACAAATATTCATAATAAATGATGAGAATATCGTAATAAAATTATTTTTTAAACTCTCTCTGATCATAATTGGCAAGTTTTTTTGGATAGGATTATTAATACGGACCCAAAGGAATAGTGAAAATAACACCTTG